CAACCTAAAAATACCAAAAATAAACCAATCCCAGAAACACTAAAATAAACCAAAAAACAGATTCAAGTCTTTAGCAGAATATGTTACTCAAAGACAACAGTTGAGATATGCTAATTCAGCACCAGTACATAAATATCCAATCCTTTTAAAACCTATGGAAGCAACAATATGCAGATATAAATTACCGACTTTATTCTCCAAAAACGAAAATCAACTGTGCATACATGCACGAAGACGCCTTCATCATTGAAGGAAATAATTCGGTTTAAACTAGTTCCCTAGCACTATAATTCTTTACTCCAAAGATCAACCAAATTTAGCCTCGAAAACTATTCCCAGACCCAAATTTGACAGTTTTTCAGTAAAAAAAAAATCAGAAACAACGGTTCTAGATTAATTCAATTGCCAATCATGTCTTGATTCAAGATTTCTACATACTGACAATTCGAGAATCAAAAGTTCAGCTCTTTTCTTTTTCCCCTGTTCCCATCAGCCAAACTAAAAGCAAGAAGATCTAAAACTCTTCTCAAAGCTAAACACAGTTTCGAAGAAGCGAAAACAATGCAACATGGATGGAAAATCCAATAAAAAAAATCACAAATTCCAAGTCCTACGTCGTTATCCATGGTATTAGTATTAACTTAGCGGGAAATTCCAATTTTTCCCGCTCCACGACAATGAAAACTTAAACAGATTGTTTCAGACAAAAAAAAAAAAAAAAAACCTTAAATTTCCATAAAATCAAACCGGTATTCTATTTCCCAGACTTTCTCAGCATCCAAACAACGAGAACAACAAAATCAAGATGAACTAAATCCAAACTATAAACAGAATAGAAACTCTACCTTCGCAGCCAATTGAGAAAAGCTTCCCACAACCCCATTGAGAAGGAGCAAATACAAGAACAAATCGAAAACCTTTTTCAATTTTAGGGTTTTGAACGATTTCAGATTATCCACATTGAAATTCTCTCTCTGCAGCTCTATGTGCGTTTGGAATTCCTTTTCTGTCAGCAAAGAAATTATAACAACTTTACAAAAGAAAAAAGAAAAAAATATAATGAAAGATAATTAATCAGACAAATTGAGGAATGTTCCTTTTATTCATACACGCGCCTTCTGAAGAGTGAAGGAGGGTATTGGATCTTGGAGACACCTGTGATGATATTATTAGTGGAGAATAACCACGCTCTCTGGTGAAATGTGGGTTGGTTTATGGTACTGCCAAAAGTTGAAATTGGGAAGTGGTAAAACGACGTCGTAAATTGTCTAGTCCAGGCTGTTCAAATCAACTAGCAGCTCATCCAATCAACAATTTGCCAGGTTGGCTTTTTGACCAGAAAATAAAAATTGAGTGGACCTTGCAAATGTTTCAATTCAAGTTTGTGAAAATGTATTGAATTTTGCTAACGTCAGTCGCTCATAAATACTCACGATGTATTTATAATTTTTGAACGTTTAATGTTGATTGTTCGTATCGGTTATGATGGTTGCTCGTAATCACCCACAATGCATCGATAATTTTTAAATGTTGATTGAGTACGAATCACACATGCATCAATGGTTAGAATTTGATAATATACATATGAGTTTTTTTTATTTATATTAAATAGAAAGTTCATTAGATAAACTTCAACAGTACAATCAAATTTCGATTAAAAAAAAGTACAATCAAATACATCAACAAGACATCTAAAATACCAATCACAGAAGGGCAACAAACTAACATGCTAAAAGCAAAACTAATGAGAACAAAAACCACACTAAAACTATTAGCCCACAGTACTATAATTAGTCATAAGCCCAAATAAAGCCCACAAACCTAACATAACCAAAACCCTATATCAACTCATGAGCCTAAACGAACCCTACCACTACCACCTAAAGAAGCGTCTTTGCGGCCACACCCACCACCGCATCTGTAATGGATCTGGAGAACATACGATTTTCAGCGATCTACTTGCACATAAGAGCCAACAAATAAACAAAAACAACAATTCTGCCAAAGAACAATTGGGTGATTTGCAGCAATCTCTGTCAAAGACGATATAGAATTAAATTTAAAGAACATGAACGGCATTAGAGAGTGGGTTTTTGGAGTAGGATTTGATTGAGAACATAGACTAAAAGAGGTGATGGGGAACTTCAATCTAACCATGGCTTAGAAGAAACCACCACAATAGACTGTTTATTCAAAACACCCCAGTGGACTTATTCACCAACCTAAAAAGAAAAGACAAGAAGAGAGGAGGGGGAGGAGAGGCAGTGACGCTTCTTCCTCCTCCCCCTATATAGAATTTTCTTTTAAGACTCATAGAGGGAGAGAAGCGGCTAAGATTTGGGAGGATTGCATTTTCATTTTTGTTTTGCTGCAATTGCACGTACACATGAGTTATCTTGGCACAACTCTTACTTCCCCTTTAGGCTGGTAGCTTCTAGAAAACAATATAAAAATAGATGAGGATGGTGGTATTTATTTTGATGGGGTGGGGTGGCAAATTTATGAGCATATATATCTTTGGGCTGAATTAGCTAGAGCATGAACATGTGATATGACATTCAGCTGTAATTAACATGACTGCCCATGCTTGTAGTGGTCTTAGTGGATATGGAGCATATCACTTATGTTAAGATTTTGGAGGAACGAACTTTTGGTTTACTACTAGTGATATTGATATTGTCTTCAACTTAACCACCTATTTAGCAGGTGTGATGTTTTATACAAAAGGCCTCAATGTTATTAGGAGTGAAGCCATTTATTATATAGGACTTTCTATCTTGTTAAGTATCTGATGTGGGACAATGTGTATTCTTCAGCAACTTATCCATTGTCAGTGCTCAAATCTCACACGTAAAAATTGAGTCTTGGCTACAGATGATATTGGTTTCTTATTTGAGGCTTCAAAGCACAATCGTGCAATGAATTTTTATTAATCCAATTTTCATAAAATTGCATATTCTAAGGCGTATTTGGAACTACTTTTGTAGGAAGTATTTATGATTTGAAGTGCTTTTTCTAGAAGTGTTTCTATTAGAAGAATGTAAGAAGTTTTATTAAAAATGAAGAATGATGTAATAATTGAACATAGAGCACATTAATTTTGTAATCATATAATACCTTAAAACATAGATCAGACTTTACTTGCCTGCTAGACCAGCTTTATCAACCTTTAAGAACTGACCAGTTGATATTAGATTGAGCTAATCAAAAGGTTTTTCTTTCTTTCTTTCTGGTTTTTGCTTTTATTAATTTGTATATTAAATTTCTTGAGTATTTTGCATTAAGAGTTAGAACACTACGGTTACGTAGTACATTTTATACACATGTTATATGAATGGATGACAGAGTTTATTTTCTTCCTTTTAGAAAATAATATCAATAAATATCAATTTATATTATAACACGTAATTTGACATCTTTGTGTTGGAGTGGATAGTTTAGCAAGTACTTGATAAAACCCAAAAGTTGATAAATGAAAAATAAAAAATTTCATTTGAGAAGCTTCCTTTGAAGAAGAGCTGAACCAAAAATCAATTTCAGACCAAAAAAACCAAAAATCAACAGTGTAAAGATATTCAATTCAGGGCCCAATTCAATTATAGTCTGATCAGATCAGATAGCCTATTTGGCTGGTACCGAAAGATACACCAACACGCGTGCATATTATATAGCATTGGTTTGCTTGAATACAAGTTTGATTTGATAGGGCCCATCAGGAAGCATCCTAGAAGCAGCTGAAAAACTCCAAATCACTTACTCTATAACTTTGTCACACACTAGGCTGGCTTTCAGAAGCTCAGTATAGCTTCTTTTTTTTTTTTTCACTACTATTTCAACTTCAGAGAAAAGGTGGAGAGGAGAACCCACCAAGCCAGATTCTGTGTAATGCTAGTGCTGTGTGTTTGTGGTGGTGATATATATCATCAGAAGGGGATGGCTGTTTTGGTTATGATTTATGAGGGGCTGAGTCTCTGTGCTTCAACGATTTGGGATCTCCAAGAGATGCGTTTCGCTGCCATTTTCGACGATGTAAGCTTTGCTGCTATCACCATTATCATGGCTGCAGTCTCGTGCTTCATAGCTGTAAGGAGGGCTTGAGAGTTGCTGTCTCTGTTTTTTTGAATGTTAATCAACATTGCACATGCATGCATGTGTGCTAAATATGTAGTTTGTATATGCATCAACCATCATTAATGACGTCTAATTATGCTTTGAATTAATAGCTCGGATCCTTTCATGTACATAATTATAGTTCCTACCTATGTGTCATGGACAAGAATCCCACATCGAATAGAAAAGGGGTTTTATATCGGTGGATAGGCTGCATTTCCTAACAAGTTACTAACTAGCACACAATAGATACGACTTTGATGAGATATGAATCCCACGATGGGTTCAGATAATCGAATCCGTTCTTGTTGTGTGCAAGTAGGCAACCCTTAATTTTTTTTCATGTGTGGTTAATGAGAATATCCAAATGGAGCAATTAATGAAAATAGACAAAGAACATGTTGCGCAAGGCATGGGCAACCTTGTTACTCTCTCTTGGCCTATATGGTTCAAATGACATAATGGGTCTAGGAGAAAGTGTGCGATTTTCTCCTTTTGAGTGAAGAAGAAAGTTATTAAAATATGATTAGGGTTGAAGCTGCCTAAGCCTCCTCATTATCAGTCAGTGGTTGAAGCTGCCTAAGCCTCTTCATATTAATGATTATATGCACATCTTATTGCTAGGTCTACGGTCTTCCGTTGTGTTGCTTTATGAGTCCTTATTTTCTTTTGGGCTGCATTGTCCCAAAGAGTTCGAGGTTTCTTGTTCTATTTATGTTTTTGATATTCAAAAGCGCGAATGTGCAGGCCCTTCCCGAAGCTTGTCCTCCACAAATCCATTTAGGTGTCCTTGTTCCAAATGCAAGACCACAAGTTGGATTTGGTTTGGTGTCATTCTTTCTTCAAATCTCTGTCTAGTAGCAGAGTTGTATATGGAGGTTCAAATTCGTACTCCATGGCAGTTTCAGTAGCACGAATAGCAGCAATTCTGATCAGTTCCCCTGCTTTGGCGCCTTATTTCTGTCTCACTGGCTACACAGAAATTGCAAAGTGTATGTAATTGGATCAGAAAAAGGAGAGGAAGAAGATCTTGAACTTTTGGAACAAGAGGGGTGGTAATGGAGAAAAGTAAGTAACTGAAAGAGTATATAGTATAATCCTTATGTTGCAAATGTCCTAATGGATGGGACATGCACTAATGAGAATTTTTAACTCTTAAACAAAATAAAACAAAATAACAAAAAAAATTTACTTGATAACTGATGTTTCAGGTATCAATATTAAGCTGGACAATTGTTTGTGGTTCATCTTGTGTGACCCTAAGGCTTAGAGTAGCTGAGGAATTGGTGATGTGGTTTTGTACAGTTAATCTCCATGAAACAGAGAAATATTTGTAAATCCTTCGTCATCTGTTGTGGTTTCCTGAGTCCCAAACTTCCACTCATCAAGCAGTTTATCCACAACATCTCCTGCTGGAGTATTTTTGAAGTTTTTATCTGCAAGTGTGGTAAACATTAAAACCAGCTGCCAATGGATCTACAAACATGATGATCCCTTCAACTGCAGGATGAGAAAAACCCTCCCTTGGTATCTCTTCCAAGTACTGGGCCTGCACACAGATCAAACAAGTGTATTAGCATAAACTTTCGCACTTGAAACTGTCGAAAACTAAATTTTCTCTTTCTGATTTTGTACTAGAATACCTGGTTTGGGCCTTTTTGCACATCCACTTCTGTGAGCCATACTGGAAATCTTGTGGCACCTAACATGTCTAAAGTAGATCTCATGTAAGCAAGGTTTGGCGGGCTAGAACCAAAGTGACCTTGCAACCCTATTCGAGCTGACAGATTAGCATTTCCAGGATATGATAGGATCTCTTGAAGTTTCTTCGTGTAGTTGGCTGCACTTGCTTCCTGGTCTAAAGGATACTCGATTGTATTATACTCATTCAGGAACATAATTGTGCCAGGATCGAGCTGTTGAGCTGTGGAGTAGAATGCTACAGAAGCATTTTCACCAAGGTTATCCTCAAAGAATCTGAAATGAAGATTCTCATTCACTACATCCCAAGCAATTAATTGTCCTCCGTATCTAGAAACCACTGAATCGATTCTCTTCACTGCTGCTTTTCGTTGTTCCTTGCGGGAAAAGGGATTAGGCGCCCACTTGCGATTTGGAGGAAACGTGTCAAAAATAGTATCGCCGAACGGCTATACAGTTCATTATAGCCGAGCGGCTATACTATTTATATAGAGGGTACACCAAGTGTCAAACTCAGTATAGCCGTTCGGCTATACAATTCAGGAAAAATAAAAAACCGGTTATAGCCGCGCGGCTATACCATTGATATAAAGACCACACCAAGTGTCAAACTCAGTATCGCCGTGCGGCTATAATATTTTTTTGGTATAGCCGGACGGCTGTACGATTTACATAAAAAAGAGGACCGGAATGGGGTTACGTGTCAAAATAAGTATAGCCGCGCGGCTATACGATAAGAGGATCCTGGTGTTTAGCGCCCACGCGTCAGGCAAATAAAAACCGAGTATAGCTGCGCGGCTATACTATTTATTAAAAAGGAAAAAAGAGGTCCTCCCTTGCGATGAGGTGTCCATGTGTCAAAATCAGTATAGCCGTGCGGCTATACGATTTTTAAAAAAACCGAGTATAGCCGGGCGGCGGTACTGTTTATATATATATATATATATATATATATAACCGCGTTTTTATTAAAAAATAGCCAAAATTTGACCATTATTTTCACAAATGTCAGTTTTTATTAAAAATTTCAGATATATAACACAAAACCCACTTAAAAAGACACAAATTTCCTCAAAATTAAAATTCACATAAACCTAAAAGTAAAAAGGAATTTAATCTTTCGCAGGCGATCATCTCTTACCAGACTTTACAAGTTTTGTTTGATCATCTCAGAATGAATAAATTTTTCTTGCATGTTAATTGCTTATGTTTGATCAAGCAGGTTTTTGGCTGATTTGTGTGTATATAAAGGTATTGAGAGACCAAAATACAGAAGAATGCATGAAAGCAATATGGTGCAAGCTTCTGTGAATATCTTGATGATCACTTCAGAACACAAACAACCTTTCCTTGCCACAAATAAAATAATTTCAAAGTTCTGGGAAGAAGGATGATAATAATGTCACGTGTGAAGCAAATGGAGACAGGAACAAAGGCAGAAGTTAAGCACAACACGAAGGAGGAGGGAACAACTCTCTGGTCTACAGAACAATCTATCTTCACAGTGCAACAGAGGCTTCTGGTTGTATGTGGTATTTATAATGAACACTATAACTGTGTAATGTGGTAAATAAATTTCCCAACTTATGCTTCCCTACTTGATCTAAATTCTCCTCCTCGTGTGCCATTTAATTTTGATTCTCTTTTTGTCCCAAGTGATTGAACTGTGAGTATGGGGGATTTTTGTTACCAAATTTATAGACATTCATCTCCCCTTCTAATTGAGTTTGAAGGTAATGAATTCATAACATATTCAGATTTAATAGTTTAAAGAAGTAAATGCATGAAACTGAACATAAAGTAATGGCTGGCGGTGAAGTAGTAAATGCCGATGCCCTCGCCAAAATGGGGAATGGTTGTGGTGTGAGGCTTCAAATGATTGATGAGCATCCTAGTAATTTTCTCTCTGTTTAATTAGATGACAAGGCTGGCAATGCTCAGCCTAAACTGAGAGTTATTTAATTTTTGTTTTCTGGCTTTACCTCGCTGTAACCGGACTTTTTTTTTTGTTCTCCAGCTTGCTGCACCAGGATTTTGTCATAATAGTATAGAAATTTATTTATCTCATTATTTATGTGTAATTATACATTGTGATGTTTCACTTTCAGGGATCAATATGAACCTGAACAATTGCATGTGGTTCAGCTTGTGTAACACTAAGGCTTACAGTAGCCGAAGAATTGGTGATGTGGTTTTCTGCTGTGATCTCATAATCTCCATGAAAAAGGGAAAGTTCTATAAATCCTTGATCATCTGTTGTGATTTCTTGGGTCCCAGAGTTCCATTCATCAATCAGCTTGTCCACAACATCTCCTGATGGAGTATTTTTAAAGTTATTATCTGCAAGTGTGGTAACATTAAAACCAGCTGCCAATGGGCCTACAAACATGATGATCCCTTTAACTGCAGGATGAGAATAGCCCTCTCTCAGCACCTCTTCCAAATACTGAGCCTGCAAAAAAAATAAAAAAAAATAAAAAAATAAAGAAGCATAAAATTCTACATTTTGAGAGTGTCCTAAAACAAATCTGTTGTTTTCTGGTTTCTTTTATGGTGATCAGATTGCTTTACATATTGCAGATTTGTACCTGATTTGGGCCTTTTCCCACATCCACTTCTGTAAGCCATATTGGTAATCCTGTTGAACCTAACATGTCTAAAACAGATCTCATGTAAGCAAGATTTGGCTGACCAGAACCAAAGTGACCTTGCAACCCTATTCCGGCTGACAGATTAGCATTTCCTGGATATGATAAAATCTCTTCAAGTTTCTTCTTGTAGTTGGCTGCACTTGAATTCTTGTCTTCGCTATATTCCATGGTATTATACTCATTCATGAACATAACTGTGTCAGGATCAAGCTGCTGAGCTATTGAGTAGGATTCTGCAGAAGCATTTTCACCAAGGTTATCCTCAAAGAATCTGAAATGAAGATTCTCATTCATTACATCCCAAGCAATTAGTTGTCCTCTGTATCTACAAACCACAGAATTGATTCTCTTTGCTGCTGCTGTTCGTAGTTCCTCGGGGGAAAGGGATTTAACCCAGTCAGGCTGGTACTTCGGATCGTCCCAGAATACGTTGTGGCCTCTAATAGAAATCCCATTCTGTTGGGCAAATTTTACCATGTTATCTGCAATAGTATAGTTTTCTAGGCCTTGTATTTTCTCGGTGCTGTACCACTTCATCTCATTTGTGAAAGTGGTCCACTTAAATCTTGATGCAAACCAATTCTGGTAATCAGGGTTTGTGAGGATATAATGGTTCATGCCACATCCAAATGGGAAGTGTGACTTGATTTGCTTGATGGATACTCTAGTGCCTTTCAGAGGAGTTTTACTTGCCTTAGTTACCTGTAACCTCACCTTACTCTTACGTACCTGCAGGGTTTAAATCGATTAGAAAATTTCTTGAAATGGCACGATACGAACATGACATGCTACCTCTGTATGTAAGTATAGCACAGAAAAGTATTGAAATTTTAGGCTGCAGGAAAATAGAGCACATTTTAACTAGGAATCTATCAAATAGTTCTGGACTCCCTATCAGGATTCGACCCACAAATTATGAAGTAATGAATGGTCTAGCATAATATCCACAAATTCTGCAATTCTAACATTAGCTTGCCTACTAAAAAAAAAATCAGTGGTTTTTCTAAATTGATGTGATTATTCTGCTTGGGCTTACCTCATTGATGCTCTTGTCCTGGTTGGATCTCCATTCCTCCTTGGTGAAAGGTTGTAATGAGACATTGTCAAACCATATTTCCACTGATGTGGTTTTGCTCTACAGATGCATAAAAAAGGCATATACAGTCAAGAAACTCATTTAATCTTGACTATATCAGTAAATTAAACCCCAAGGATTTGCCAAAACAACAAGAGGATCCAAATTCAAACTCATAATTTACCTTACCTCAAAAAGAATCTCAACTGGGCTTGTGAAATTTGCTACTATGCCACCTCTTAGCAAGGACCAGCACCCCTCCTCAGCTACAACATCACCACCACGTACACCATCGCCATTCGGAAACTTAAAGACAACAGCTACAATCTCCCTTCCTTGACTGACTTGAACAGAAGCTGAACATTTTCAAAATTTTGCTCTTTCAGAATCATGTAACAAACAAAAACATAAAACACATAATTTTGGCTGAGATAAGTACCACACTCTTACCAGAAAAGCTATAGATTTTCCCTTCCTCGACTTGAACCTTCTGTGATAAACTGTCTGATGGATGCTTTCTACTACGTGCCACAATGAACCTGTTTCCTTCCTTCGATATTCGTTCTTCTATTTTACCTTCTCCAAAAGCTTTCCAACCTTCAATGTTATAGTTAAATTCTGGATTTACTACAAGCCCTCCTCCATATAGAGCTTCCAGGGGATCTCCCAAGCACTGCTTGATTAAAATTAAAGAAAAAGGTACAGTTGAAATCAGCTTTTGGCTATATGCATTTTCAACAATGTTTCACAAACTTGTTAAAGCTGGCATTCACAATACACAAGTCATTAAAAACTCCATATCCAAATATGTTTCTTAATTTAACCATTAAGTGACAAACGTGTAGAAACAAAAGAAATATTCATTATTGAGAGTATAGGAGGTCATTCTTGCCTGCCTTGTTGTCGACGAAGCATTGGTGCCATGCCCTGTAACAGTTGAAAAGGTTATTAGCCAGAATGTAAATGACAGAAAGCATTGGTTGTAAAAGAAAATAATATATTAAGAAAAGATAAGTGTGGCCTGTCATGGAAGCTCTTGACCCTATGGCATTATCAGTTTTCATTCTGTTTTCACACCATGCTTTAGACAAACATGAGAGAGAGAGAGAGAGAGAGAGACCAAAATACAGAAAGATCCATGACAGCAATAAGGTGCAAGCTTCTGTTAACATCTTGATCACTTCCGAACACAAAGCCTTGCCTTGCCAGAAGTAGAACACAGAGATTAAGCAAATGGAAACTGGAACAAAGATGATAATGTCATATGTGAAGCTAATGGAAACTGGAACAAACACAGAGATTAAGCACAATGCAAAGAAGGAAGGAACCACTCTACAGTCTACAGAGACTTGTGGTTGTGGCGCTGGCCTTGTTGGATGTGCTATTTATAATGTACAATAGAATTGAATAATGCGGTACGTATGTCCAAAGTTATGCTCACAATACAAATTATCATAGTGTGCCAAGTGACTTAACTCCCCCTTGTATGGTAATGATAATTCAAAATTAATATTATCATAATTAGTTAATAAGAAATAATCAGTGGCGTGCCAAACTCAAATTTTGTTCGTTTGCATTATTTATTTTTATTTTTGTGCTTTGGTAATTGAGTAAAAAAAAGAGAGAGGAAAAGAGAGCATAAATTTTTTGACATTGAGTTCATTGTAAGTATCTATTCCCGTTTGATAACTATTTCAATTTGAGTTTTTAGTCTTCATTTTTTGTGCTAGAGTATAGAAGAAAATGAGAGTGAGAATGAGAGTTAGAATGAGATTGAAAGAGAGGATGAGAGGGGAGGATGGAAGGGAGGACTAACAAAAGTGAAAACAAATTAAAATAGATTTCAGTTTTTAGTTTTTGTTTTCACTTTTGATACTCCTCCCTCCCATCCTCCCCTTTCATGTTCCCTCTCAATCCCGTCTTTACTCTTATTCTCACTTTCATTCTCCCTCTTTTCCTTCTATTCTCTATCACAAAAATTGAAAACTAAAAACTAAAATTGAAGGGCCGTTTGATGATCAAATCAATTTTAGTTTTTAGTTTTCATTTTTTGTACTAGAGTATAGAGGGAAATGAGAGTGATAATGGAAGTGATGATGAAATTGTGAGAGATGATGAGAGGGGAGGATGGGAGGGAGTAGTAACAAAAGTGAAAACAATTTCAAATAGATTTCAATTTTTACTTTTGTAACTCCTCCCTCCCATCATCTCCTCTCAATCTCATGTACACTCTCATTCTCACTTACATTCTCCCTCTTTTTCCTCTATACTATAACACAAAAATGAAAAATAAAAATGAAAAATTAAATGATTATCAAATGGGCCGAAATGGTTATCAAACGGGCCCCTTGATTTCAGTTTTCAAGTTAAAAAAAGAAGACAAGATGTTCTCTTTTTTTTTTTTCTTTTTGGCGTTTTCTCTAAAAAATTTGTTTTTGTGCCGTTGGAATGTTGATGAACATAGTTTATATTCGACATTGGACCCAAATAAAGACAATAGCCCAGCAAACAATGTTGGATCACTGTTTAATTTGCAGATTTTCATGGTGACCCGTGATGTGTTTTCACTACAGAGTATAAAATGCTATGAACCTGTGAGTTTTAAGAATAGAAAATTAACAAGAAAATCAACAAGGGAACAAACTTTGATATGCTTAAAGTGCATTGATTTGGAGCTAGTGGTGGCTGCACTAGAATGGAGATATATATATCCAAATTTTGATATGTCTTATTGAAGGACGCCATGTCCATTTCTTCAATGTTTGTTTGTTTGTTTCTTCTTCTTCTTCTTCTTCTCTCTCTCTCTCTCTCTCTCTCTCTCTCTCTCTCTCTCTCTCTCATCAAACAAAAAGTTGTAGCACGTACTATACCTAATTTCCCACTATACCAAATCATAGAGCTT